ACGAAAGGTATTCCAAACTTTTGGTTTACAATATTTCGAAATACTGAATTGCTTGGTGATATGCTTCAAGAACATGATGAACCTGTTCTAAAAAAACTAAATGATATAAAAATTAAGTACGACGATGAGGTAAATTCTAAATATACGTGCTTATAACGTTTAAAGTGTAACTAAGAAATTAATTTCTTTTCAGCATTCCTATACACTGGAGTTCTATTTTGATAAAAATGAGTACTTTTCGAATGAAGTTCTCACGAAGCAATACTTCTTGAAAGCAATGGTTGATGAAGACAATCCATTCGGCTTTGAAGGACCCGAAATTTACAAGTGCAAGGTTAGTATTTGTTTATACCCCTTATTCCCGTGGTTCTAATTTTTTGTTTTAGGGATGTCCGATTAATTGGGAAAAGAAAATGAATCTCACCATCAAAACAATTAGAAAGAAACAAAAGCATAAGGAACGAGGCACCGTCCGTAATATTGTTAAACAAGTACCGAACGACTCATTTTTCAATTTTTTCAATCCTCCTGAAGTACCGGAAGATAAGGATGAAATGGATGAAGAAACTCAAGGGGTATGTTTGATTTTACTAACTATATTAACATTACGTTACCATCGTCTTTTAAATTTTAGATTTTAGCAACAGACTTTGAAATAGGTCATTTCCTGAGGGCTAGAATCATTCCTAAAGCTATACTTTATTACACCGGAGATATTATTGATGATGAAGATGATGATGATGGGGAATACGATGATGATGGTGAAGATGATGAGGAAGATGAGTCTGATGATGAAGCGGTTGAGAAAGAAAAACGCATTAAATCAATAGATGATTGTAAAAATCAATAAGATATGTTGACAACTACTTGCATTAAATCATTAAAATTCGAAATTAATTTTTTGTAAGAATTTTGTAAATGAAGCTCTAAGCGCAATTATTATTAACAATTGAACTTTGAAACTTCTTTTTTGGATTTTGAATGGGGGAACACGTTTGGCGATAACGCTCATAATGCTTAATACCGTGGGACTTTAAAAATTAGTTTATTTCTTAAAGGGATTCAAAATATGGTAGTGATAGGAGATTTAATTTTTTATCGGTGGTTTATAGAAATCAAAAACTCGCCGATTCAACTAACAAAAAATATGCTTTCAAACACATTTCACATCAATAATTGTATTTGCAAAATTTATCATTTACTGAAGTTTTTTTTTACAAATAAAGGCTGTCTTCGGTAAACGCATTAACTCAGTCGATCTCTTTATTTCTAAACTACTGGAGGTAACCGAGACAATTTGGGACACTATTGAAAATAGGTATTTCTATGACTTCTTTATTGGCGCTGTAACCGCCTAAGCGATTTTGGCCGAGTCTTTTCTCTTTTGTGCCAAGTGAAGCCAAGTTCGCCTGGTCTTTCCAACGCAGAGGAGTCCTTCCTCTACCTCTGTTACCAGCAACACGGCCCGCGTGAATACTTTCAGAACACAAGCGTTTCTGGCCATTCGAACGACATGGCCAAGCCAGCGAAGCCGCTGAATTTTGATTCCCTGCACTATGTCTATATCGTTGTAATTTCTATGGCTTAGTGAACATACAGTATCGGTCATATCTACAGCACGCCATTTCAAAGTGATATTGTGTGCCACTTATGTTTATTTATTTATTTTTAAGAATTTTCAATTAAAATTTTGTTCATTCTCGGACAAACCCCATATATATACCCAAGTTCAACAATTTGTAGAAAACTACAAAAAAGTGTAACAAATTCACCTAAATTTCAACCTTTTTTCTCGGTAGTGCTAAAATTTTTTTGAGAACACAGTTTTTTAGCCTCTGCAATTTTAGTCTGATAATGTGCAAATTTCAAGTGGCTACGAATTACCGTTAATTTTTTAGAATTTTTTTGTCGCTTTGGCTTCCATATAATGAATAAACTCAATTTATTTGTATATGGAAGAAAACCGCAACATCCTTGGCGAAAAAAATTCTAAAAAATCAGCGGTAACTTTTAGCCACTTGAAACTTGCACATTATCAGACTAAAATTGATTGGGCTATAAAACTGTATTCAGAAAAATTCAAACACTTCCGAGAAAAAAGTTTGAAATCTAGGTGAAAATTTGTTGCACTTTTTTGTAGTTTTCTATAAGTTTTTAATCTCGGGTTTATATGGGTTTTGTTAGATAAAGAACTGTATTTTAATTGAAAATTCTTAAAAATAAATATAAGTGGCACACAACATCACTTTGAAATGGCGTGCTATAGATATGACCGATACTGTATATGTACATAAGCCATAATTTAGAAATGCTGTGCGTCAATTTGCTTACGATGGAAGCCAAAATATACCCAAATGTATGATGTTGCTCGGACCAGGGATCAAACCCAGATCTAGCGGATCTTAGCACTTAGGCCCAGCCGCAATGGAAATATGAAATAATAAATTACAACTCAACATTACAAATTACAATTTATTGTAATTTCCATTTTGACAAAATACATATGGTTAATTACTGATATGTCCCTGTCAGATCCTTATTGTAAGCTTTAATGTATGCCTCATGCAACTTTTGAACGAAGTCCTTGTCATTTTGAATGAGAAAACTAAAGGCTTGGATTAACTGAGATTGATTAAGTGGTTCCTTCTTAGGCGAGCTTCTGTTTACATCCGTTGGTTTATCAAACATGGTTGGTAGCATTAAAGTCGGTTTAACCGGCTTTGGTGATTCTTTAACAAGAAGTTGTCTGAGACGTTCTTCTTCCGTAACTACCAATGGGGCACATGAGCTATGTAATTTTCCAGTTGATTGCATAAGCGTCGTAGACTCATTGGATAAACTTTCCATTCCAGGATACGCCATATTCACTGTTGTTGCTTGGTTATTCAATGTAGCTTCTGATTTGATTTCGAATTTGCAGTTATCAGTTGATAGCGTTTCTCCTCTGGGCGTTTTAGCGCGTTGCTGTTTTTCCAGTTGCTCAACTGATAGAGTGTTTGGTATAACGCGTTGCATAAAAGGCACTTCTATTGAACGTGGCTTTGCGGCAGCAAAGAATTGTAACACATTACATGAAGCCATTTTCTGTTGCGTATTATATTCTTGTTGAGCTTTTGATAACATTTTGAATATATTAACGTTTTCTTGTTTATTTTGCGACTTTTCATCGCCCTCGCTAAAGACCGCTCTTGAGTCTACTTTTTGCACCAAACTACCAACTATAGTGCCGATTCGGTCACATTCTTCACTATTGTAAAACCAAAAACCTCTAATCCGTGAACGCTCATTACGATACAACAAAAATGGTGGTTGCGATTGAAGTTCAAGTTGACTTGTAATAGGCTCTACAAAGGATGTTGTGTTAATACGATTATTTATAAAAATACTGTGAAACGGTTGTGCATTCCGACTGTATATAAAAAAAGCACCCTCAACGTCCGTCTTCTCCCACTCGTTATGCTCCGCATTAAACGTGTAAAAGGCAACATGCGACGAAGAATCAACAATATCTTTGGCGTATGGGTCCACTTTCTTGATAGCCGCTAAATTCATACGTGCCTTGCTATTTTCATCCAGACTCATCGTTAATATATTTTAATAACACGTAAATACAATTTATTACAAATTTTTCATCAACAATAATAGCTCAATATATCTGGTAAAAAACTGTGGTGAAAGTCCTCCGTGCGGATAATCTTTTCTGAGGTGTATTTTTATTTGTAGCTCACCATTTCGTGCACGCATGGTTGCTCTTAATCCAAACTTTAGAATTTATTTTAAAAATGTTTTGTATAGTGCATCAATTATATGAATAAACACAAATAAATCTATTTACTTTAAATAATAAATATCCAATATATTGAGAAAAACCCTCATCGCACGCTTTTTTACACCAAGGTACTCTAGTGTACTCAAAGAACAAACTTTTTTAGATTTTCGCTGCGATTGTACTGATTGTCAAAATTATGTGTTTGTTAAAAATTGTTGAAATATGAATTCGCCTTGTTTACAGTAACATCATTGTTTACATCATTTTGACAATCGGATAATAACAAGGCGAATTTATACAAGGTCGTGTTACTGGCGAAGGCCGCTGTCCTTTTGAATGTCAATGTGATGTGTTGTTGTAATATGAATTCGCCTTGTTTACAACAAACACATCATTTTGAC